CTTAGACCTCTTGACGATCAGCGATCGATTTTGAATGAAACAAGCGGTGTTGACAGCTTCAGCCCAGAATTGAGTAGGGAGATGGGATTCGCTGAGCATTTATCGAGCAGCCTCTATGATTGTTCGATTTCTTCTTTCAGCGACCCTATTTAGCTGAGGAGTTCACACTGAAGAAAGGTTGTGTGAAATTCCCTTGTCCTTAAAGAAGTTATCAATAGTACTATTTTTGAATTCAATACCATGGTCACTTCTAATAGATCGTACTTTAATGTCGTTAAGTACTTCTATTTTCTTGATGAACGAAATGATATCTTCAGATGCTTCATCTTTGTATTTGAGAAAGAAGACCCATGTGTACCTGGAATACTCATCAACAATGACAAGTGTATACTTCTTTCCAGCTATGGATTTCACGTTGACTGGACCAAAAAGATCCATGTGCAGTAGTAGAAGAGGCGAAGTCATTAAAGAGATTTGCTTTGACTTAAAGCTTCCTCTTGTGTGTTTTCCTTTTTTACATGCTGAGCAAAGAGATTCCTTTGCAAAGGAGTGTTGGGGAAGACCAGTGACAAGATCATTTCTAGACAACTCACTGAGTGTTTTGAAATTAAGACGAGAAAGATGTTTGTGCCATAGCCAGTTGATATCTGACGAGGCTTTAGAGAAGAAACAATTGTTCTCAATGATAGAAGAATCCATATTGATGATATAGACATTCTCCAAGCGAGAACCAGTCAAAGCGACCTTATCATCTTTGTCGTGGACGCAACATGAATTCTTAGAGAATTTTACTGTGTAGTCTTTGTCACACAGTTGACTAATGTTGAGGAGGTTGTGCTTCTGTCCTTCAACGTATGCAACTTGTTTGAACATGGTTGCACCATTGGTTAATATACCAAAACTGGTATATCCTTTTCCGTTACAACCAAAGGTCACGAAAGATCCTCTTTCTTCCTTGTAGTTGATTAGTAGGGTTTTGTCTCCAGTCATATGCCTTGAGCATCCACTATCTAGATACCATATACCTTTGACATCCTGCACAAGGGAATAGTTTAAAAATGCTTTTGGTACCCAGCTATTGGGGTCCAACACTGTTAGAGGCATCATCCACTGATGCTGAAGAATCAGCGTCAGCAGACGGCATCACTAAGTCTGAAGAGGTTTTAGTGGAGAGAGGAACAACCTCTAACACTAGAGAGATAGAGTCAGTGGAAGTTTTCACTGAGCTTGATGAAGAGGCTACAGTGGATGGAATTACAACATTTGATGTTGAAGGCTTAGCAGCAGTTGTTGTCTTCACTAAGCCTGAGGAAGAGGCTCTAGTGGTTTTCTTCACTATGGTTGCTTTTGCAGCCTTCGTGGAGGATTTTGCCTTGGTTGATTTCTTAGCCTTAGCTATTTTCTTGCCCTTAGCTGGTGGACCAGCCTTGGCGGCAGAAGGATACTTGGTGGCAATATGTATATTTACACCACAGTGTTTACACTTCCTATAGCTGAAGGTAGCTTTAGGGCCAGGAAATATCAGATTAGAAGAGGGACCAGCTCCAAGGATTCCCTTCTCATTAGTTCCTAGAGGAACCTTTGAGGCTTTGAAGTCCTTAAGTGAAACATTCACCTTGAGCTGAGACTTAGACTTCTGAGAGGATTTAGATTTCTTAGTCCTTGAAAAAGAAGGTTTACAAGCTAAAGGAATAGACCTAGATCTATTAGACTTGTTAGACTTCTTAGGAAGAGGTGTTATGACAATGGATTTACCCTTGTCTTTGCAATCTGAACTCGAAGGATTTCCATCAAGATGACTCTCAGTTAAAAAAGACTGAGAGGAAGAAGTGTCAGGAATGGAAGAGACAAAGGTACCAAACTTAAGCATAGACCTGTCAGTGACACATTTTTCCTGATCATAGGAAAATTCTAGACCAGTTTTTATCTTGGTCGGGATCTAAGCATTGATGATCTCAGAGACTTTGATAGAGGCTTTGCACCACCCTTCAATGGTAGCCTTCTCAGCCTTGAGTTCAGCGATTGCTCGCTCATACTCAGCGATAGCCTGTTCTCGTTCAATAGTGATAACTTGGTTCACAATGACCTGATCCTTTAGGTTTTCTTCATCCTTGGTCAGCTCCTTGATCTTAGAATGGCAAATCTTCAACTGTTATTGAAGATCAAGATTAAACAGTTCTTCTTTTGATTTGCCATTAAAGGCCATTGTAAAGATCCACTGTCAACGTGTCTAGTGCAGAGAGGCTAGAAGAAGAAGAAGAAGAAGAAGAAGAAGAAGAAGAAGAAGAGGGTTCATTCAGGATACATACCTAAGTAGGAGAAGGGGACGAGGGATCATTTGAAGTAGATGTCTTTGTAGCTTCTTCTTTGACATCCTTGGCTATTAAGCAAAGATAGGCCGCATCTTTTCTCATCAGATGATGATTCATCAGATGAATCATCCCAATCATGCTCTTCAGCGATAAGACCTTTGGCCTTTTGCTGGTGATTATTCATCTTCTTGTACTTCTCCTTCAGCTTCAGGTATTTGTCATCCCTAGACCTGAAAGAGAATGGGCTTTTGGAGGATGGTGTTGCAGTCTTCTTTGATCTATATTCACCTGCAAAGTGACCAGTGCGGTGACAGTTGTAGCAGATCGCTGAAGCCTTGTCTATTTTATCAGACTTTGGCTTTTCTTTTAAGGTCAGCAAGGGAGATCTGCGGAAGTTGCTTTTGCTTGCGAATCTCCTAAAATACTTAGTCAAAAGCGCCAGGGATTCATCAAAATCTGCAAGATCAGATTCTGATGCATCCTCAGAGTTAGTAGAGTCTAACTCTGTAATTACAACAGGAGGAAGAGAGGAAGAAAAAGAAGAAGAAGGGGTTTCAGCTGAAGCATCTTCAGAGATCAAAGCTAACGAAGAGCTTTTCATTTCTCTGGAATCTTTGATTAGATTTCTTTTCAGCTGACGAGATTCCTCATGATTAAGCAGGATCCCGTAAAGAGTAGAAAGAGAGAGAGAGAGAGGACATGTCATTGGACATTTTAAGACACATGGAATAAGTGTCCAAGATTTAGAAAGACATTCTAGAAACTTAGTTAAAGTTTTAGAATTAGAATATTCCTTGTCTACAGTCCTAAGATCAATAAGAAGACAATTAAAATATTGATGTACTTCAGACAGTGTCTTAGTCTTTCGACAGAGAAAGCTTTCATACTGCCTTACTAAATTAATCTTCCTTGATTCTTGAACCTGAGGGGTTTCTTCATATTGAACACACAGAGTGTCCCACATGGATTTGGAGGTTMTGAGTTTCATCACTGAGTGATAAACCTCGTCAAGAAGATATATAGCTATTATAGACCTAGCACGAGTGTCTATAGCTATTTTCTTCTTATCTTCATTGCTCCACTGGTGAGGGAGCTTTGGAATCTGCCGTTCAGGAATCGTGGCAGTCGTAGCTGTTTCAGAAACAGCCAGAGAAATAGCAAATGGTACATATGGTCCATTTTCTATGTAATGTGGAATTTCAGGATCCACACCTTCCAGAAAGAGGGACATCCAGTTCTTCCAGAGACTAAAGTTGTCTAGGATGAATCGGGGAGGTCTGGCAAGAGAGCAATTGTCTTGAAAGTGTGTGTTTGTGTTTTGTAAAGCCATTTTAAAAGAAATAAAATTATCTAAAGAAGGAGATAATATAGTGCAGAAAAACAACCAAACAACTAGAGAAGATAGAACACTGCTCTCATACCACTTGTTGGTCTCGTTAGTGTCTACAAGATGTGTATAACAGTTTGTAGAAGGTGGGGGGGGGATGAATACAAACACAGAATTTTCAAATTTAAAATATATATTGATAAGAGAAGATCAATACAGATTAGATTAGTTGTGAAAAGATAAGGTAGACAAAACCTATCTAAACAATCTAAAATTTACACACTAAATCTTAGCAAATAAAGAAAATATTTGCTGTTAAAGAAATAGAAGAAAGTAAGTTCTATCTGGGAGATAAATTGTTTAAAATATAATAAAGATATTCTAACTTGCTTTTAAAGATGAGCGTATTTGTTTTTAGATGTGTGTGTTCTTTTACTTAAGCGTAAGAAAGCACAGAGTAAGGTTTTTTGAGTGTATCTCTTTGTATGGAGATAAAACACATCTATTTATATCCATTACATTAAATGCACATTTAATGCAATGTAGTAGGGTTAGTACGCGTGTCAAGCCTTAAGGGGAAGGCTTGTCCTTTGCTATAGTGAATAATACAAAAGCCTATTCATGAACAAACATCCTTTCATAAGTTGGTGGGTAATAGAGTCAACTAATCGGCTCCGTACAGTACTAACGTTTAGAAAAGGGTATGGGTTTGTCCTTTGTGTGTGTAAGAACAAGACAACAACAATCGTGCTCGACAAGCTTCTTTTGATCGCTGAATGCTGGAATAACCTGAAGGTCTCTTCAGTATTTGCTAAGGCTTGGGCAGTCTTCACACATATGTAGACAAGGTAGTAATCACTGAATACCGCTTCAGATCACGTACTCGCCAGTCTCTAAACTTCAGTTTCAGTCTTCGACTTTCGCTGAAGGTTCTTTGGTGTGAGTGTTGTCTTCTTGAAGTATTACTGTCGCTGATTGGATTTACAATACAAGTTCTTCAGTGATCACTGAACAGACTCAGTGATGATCGCTGGAACTGAAAAACAGAAACACAAATACTTCGCATAGGGTAAAAGGGAATATCATCAAATCAAATGAGAGAGAGAATCAACATAATTACACCTTGGAATACGTAGGCCCACTATTGATGGTGACCACTTTAAATTTGAGCCCTTCATGTTTCACTGACTCTTTCTATCTTAATGGAATTTCTGATGAAGCCTTAAGGCTGAAGTTATTTCCTTTTTGATTAAGAGATAGAGCTAAAGTGTGGTACAACTCTTTGCAACCAGACTCAGTCACTACGTGGAATGAGATGACTGAGAAGTTTTAAAAAAATATTTCTGCCAACTAGGAGTGCCAAGTTCAGAAATGAAATTTGTCTTTTCTGATAACTGGACGATGAAGCAGTTCCTGATGCTTGGAAGAGGTACAAGGAATTACTAAGGAAATGTCCACATCATGACATACCTACTGCATACAACTAGAAACATTTTACAATGGTCTTGACACCACTACTAAACAAATATTAGATGTTACTGCAGGTGGAGTCTTTACTTCCAGTACCTACAATGATGGTTTTGATATTTTGGAGAAAATTTCTAACAACAATGGTCATTGGACAGATCCTAGAGCAATAATACCTAGAAAAACAGCAGACATTCATAAAATATATCCTTATATTGCTCTTACAATACAACTAACAACAATGACTAGCTTGTTGAAAAACTTGGATGTCCTTGCTGCTAATAGTGTTGCTACTGCAGTTGTTTCTGAATCCTTGCATGTCCAATGTGTGTATTGTACTGTGAATCTGTGTATTATGTGCACAACATACCTTCCTAGTTTTCAAACACCTAGAACTCCATTGGAAAAACCAACCTAATTTCTCTTGGATAGTCCATATTTAAACCCATCAGTTGTAAAAGAGCAAAGACAAGGTTTTCAACCAACTATTTCTCAAAATCAATCTGCTCATTTTCAGCATCAGTCCAATTTCCAAAGCAAGCCAAACTAGCAAAGTGATTCATCCAGTTCTTTGGAGGCATTGTCAAAAGGTTTTATAAATCAAACCAACTCAGCAATGAATCATCAAAATGCTAAAATTAGGACTTTGGAAACATAGATCGGTCAAATAGCACTAGAGTTGAGGAACAAACCTGTTGGAACTTTATCCAGTGGTACTGAGATTCCTAAGATACTAACCAAAGAGCATGTGAAAGTTGTGACCTTAAGGAGTGGAAAAGATCTAATAGAAATTCCACAAAAAGCCACTGTAGAAGCTGGACCAATTGCTACAACAATACCACTTGTTGCTGCAGCAACCCCTCCTATTGTTTCTAAACCTGCAAAAAACCAAGGATCTGCACCCATTTCAAGCATATTAGACTTCTCATTGCTTTTTTCTAGTGAAACAGAACCAAAAACCACAAAGACAAGTCCAAATAGTGTTTTCAAAGGTCCACCACCCAAAGACCATGTTGATACACCACCATCCAAACAGCAGATAATGCGACTACCATGCCTACTGTCAAAGTCCTAAGAAACCAATGATTAACCTATTTCCACTGGTTCCTTACCCACAGAGGTTAAGAAACCAAAAGAAGGAGGTTAAGTTTAAAAAGTTCTTGGATGTATTCAAACAATTGCACATCAATATTCCATTGGTGGAGGCAATTGAGACTATGCCTAGCTATGCCAAATTTCTAAAAAATATCTTGAGTAAGAAAAATGTAGTGCCCTCTTGTCAGACAAACTTCTCCCTAAGCATAAAGACCCTAGAAGTTTCACAATTCCTTGTTTAATAGGTGGGAAGCATGTTGGAAAAGCCCTGTGTGATTTAGGTGCTAGCATCAATCTTATGATCTTATCTGTGTTTAATACCTTAAGAATAGAAGAGGCTAGGCCAACCACCGTTACCTTACAGTTACCTGATAAATCCATAGCATTTCCCAATGGCAAGATAGAAGATGTGTTGGTACAAGTGGACAAGTTCATACTCCCTGTTGATTTTGTAATCCTTGAATTTGAGGCAAATAAAGACACCCCTATTCTGTTAGGAAGACCCTTTCTAGCCACTCGTAGAACCCTCATTGATGTTCAAAAGGAGATTTGACTATGAGAGTGCAAGACTAGAATGTCACTTTTGATGTTTTTAACTCAATGAAATATCTTGAGGAGAAATAAGACTGTTCTGTGGTCGGTGCTATAGTGTCTTGGTGTAATGAGGAAGATTTAGAGGGAATCCTAGATGAAAAGATAGAATCATTTGAAGATATTAGCGAGGAGGATAATGATTTAGAGGGTAGTAATAAGATGCTGCAGCAAGCTATAACATTTGAGCTGTTAGAAGATGAACCCAAACAGAACCTATTGCTATCCACAGAATCCCCACCAAACTTAGAATTGAAGCAACTACCTGCCCATCTTAAGTATGCATTTTTGGGAGTAGATAACAAGCTACTTGTGATCATCTCATTATCATTAGAAGAAAAACAAGAAGAACAGTTAGTAAAAATGCTTCAATACCATACCAAAGCCATAGGTTGGACCATATTTGATTTAAAAGGTATAAGTCCATCTATTTGTCAAAACAAAATCATTTTGGAAGAGAAGGACTTTACCTCTGTTGAACCTCAAAGGAGATTGAATCATGTGATGAAAGAAGTGGTTAAGAAAGAGATTTTTAAATGGCTAGATGCTGGCATTATTTCCCCTATAGCTAGTAGCTTTTGGTTAAGTACTGTCCAATGTGTGCCTAAGAAGGGAGGTGTGACTATAATAGAAAATGAGAAGAATGAACTAATCCCAACTAGGACAATGTCAGGATAGAGAATATGCTTGGATTATAGGAAGCTCAACAAAGCAACCCATAAAGACCATTTCCCCTTGCCTTTTATAGATCAAATGTTGGATATATAAGCTGAAAAAGAATATTATTGCTTTCTAAATGGTTATTCAGGCTATAATCAAATTGCTATTGCACCCGATGATCAATAGAAAACCACTTTCACTTGCCCCTTTGTTACTTTTGCTTTTAGAAGAATGCCATTTGGACTATGCAATGATCTTGCCACATTCCAGAGATGCATGATATCCATTTCTCTGATATGTTGGAAACCTCTATAGAGATATTCATGGATGACTTCTCTATCTATGGATCTTCTTACGAGGAATATTTGAAAAATTTAGAATAAGGTCTTAAGATATGTGAGGAGACAGATTTGGTTCTAAATTGGGAAAATGTCACTTCGTGGTTAAGGAAGGTATTGTGTTAGGACATGTAATCTCAAGGAGAGGAATAGAGGTAGACAAAGCCAAGTTAGAGGTTATGGAGAGTCTACCTGAGCCCACAAATGTAAAATGAATAAGAAGTTTCTTGGGTCATGCTGGTTTCTACAGAAGGTTTATAAAAGACTTTTCAAAATTTTCCAAACCTCTCTGTCTCTTACTGCAACATGACCAATCTTCTGATTTCAACAAAGAATGTAAATCATCTTTTGACACTTTGAAGCAGGCTTTAATTTCTGCCCCCATTGTTATCACACCAGATTAGACAAAACCTTTTGAATTAATGTGTGATGCAAGTGATTTGGCAGTTGGTGAAGTTTTAGGCCAAATTAAGGAAAAGGTTTTTCATCCCATCAACTATTCCAGTAAGACTCTAAATGATGCTTAAATAAACTACACAACCACTGAAAAAGAACTTTTGTTGGTGGTCTTTGCATTTGAAAAATTTAGATCCTACTTAATGGGGACTAAGGTTATTGTTCATACAGACCATGCTGCCATTAAGTATTTGATTTCTAAAAAGGATGCCAAGCCAAAGTAAATAAGGTGGGTGCTTTTGCTAGAAGAGTTTGACATTTATATAGTGGATAGGAAAGGAATAAATAACCAAGTTGCTGATCACTTATCAAGATTACAGAAACGAGAATCAAGTTCTGGTCAAATCAATGAAAAGTTCCCAGATGAACAACTCTTAATGTTGAATCATTCTACACCCCCATGGTTTGCAGACATTGCAAATTTCTTGGCAGTTAGGATCATACCACCTGAGCTAAACAAGAACCAAAGAAAGAAGTTACTCCATGATGCAAGGAGTTATCTATGGGATAACCCATTTTTCTTTAAGTTACGATCTGGGCAGATCCTTAGAAGGTGTATACCGCATGAGGATGTGCCTGCAGTGCTGCAACATTGTCATTCTGCTGCATATGGTGGCCATTTTTGGTGGCCAAATAACATCAGGCCAAAGTCCTACAATCTGGATTTTTCTGGCGTACCCTATTTCAAGATGTTGATAGCTTTGTCAAAAGGTGCATTGAATGTCAAAGGGTTCGATCCATCTCCCAAAGACATGAAATGCCCTTAAATGGCATTCTTGAAGTAGAACTCTTTTTATGGGGGATAAACTTTATGGGACCATTTTCCATGTCTAGAAACTAATACATTTTGGTAGTTGTATGTTATGTATACAAATGGGTAGGGTTGCAGCTTTTCACACAAATGTTGCAAAGACAATAGTTAAATTTTTGCATAAGCATATTTTTACAAAATCTGGTACTCCCAGAGCTATGATTAGTGATAAGGGTACCCATTTTCTAAGCAACATGATGAAAGGGGTTCTTGAAAGTATAACATAAGCCACAGGGTAACTACTGCTTATTGCCTCAAACAAATGGCTTGGCTGAACTTTCAAACAGGGAGATCAAGAGTATCTTAGAGAAAGTGGTAAAACCAACAAGGAATGTTTGGTCCTTCAAACTTGATGATGCACTTTGGGCTTATAGGACTGCCTATAAAAACCCCATTCGAATGTCTCCTTACAAGCTAGTCTTTGGAAAAGCTTGCCACTTACCACTAGAACTTGAGCACAAAGCTTTTTGGGCTTTGAAAGAGCTTAATATGTGTGTAAATGTTGCTAGTGAAAGAAGAAGGCTATAAATCAATGAGCTTGAGGAGCTGAGAGATCAAGCATATGAGAATGCCAAGATTTACGAAGACAAAACAAAAAATGGCATGATAAGAGGATCTCTCAAAGAGAGTTTGTAGCAGGTCAAAAAGTGTTACTCTTTAACCCAAGGTTGAAACTTTTTTTCGAAAAACTAAGATCCAAGTGGACGAGGCCCTTTGAGGTCCACAAATCCATCATTATGGAGTAGTGGAACTCATTGACCCCAACAATGGATCCGTTTTCAAAGTAAATGGTCAAAGAATGAAGTCTTATAATGATGGTACTGAAATCACAGGTACCATATCTGTGGTACACCTCACTCTTTCCTAGAGCTTGATGATGAAGGCTATCATAGTCTTTAAACAATGTACATATGCAAATACAAGTATTTTATTTTAGAAGGTTTGGTTAGTTTTGTGTTTTTCTGAATGACAAGATTTTTTTGAAAAAGGAACAGTTGCTAATGCAATTTCTTGCAATGCTGCAACAACCTGCACCTGACCCACAAGTCT